AATTTTGATGGATTTTACCCCGTACACTAAACTGTAAACAACTGCTTGCAAGCCACACGGTGTAGTTTCAAGCATAGTAGTTTACATAAAGCTGATAAGTGAGTTGAAAGCTAAGAAAAAGAGATATCCTGGTGTGAAAACGGTGTCAGGGGAGTGGGGAAGTGGTCTTTTGGGCTTACATAATATAAATGAATAACATTTTTACTATTCTACTCATCTAATCTTCAAGCTGCTGGAAAATCCCTCTGAGAATTACATGAAAAGAATCACAGATATGTTTCAGTGTTTCTAGGACAATCTAGAAAATACTTAGTCTCTTGCTTTATGAAGTCTTCCTAAAAAATATTCTGAATTAGTAACATGCATGCACCTGTGTGAGCAAAGGTTATTTATTGTGCCTCTATAAGAAGCATTCTAAAAGCTTTTCTATGGAAGCAAATATACTGAAATTCCTCTAATTCCAAATATGAATTCACTGTTGTTTAAAATCCATAAGCTTTCCCACTTGAAAGTAAGCATTTTTATCTTTCCGCAGAAGCCCTACATTTTTGGGGAAGCAATGGGGATTGGCATAAATCTGCTTGAAATTTCTAGATGACTGCTTTTTGTCAAGATTGACAAGTTAGACCACATAGATCAAAGGTCTCTCTTTCTATGCCCACAGTGCTACATGTTCTATGATCGCATTGCTCATAGGTTTATGCTGACATTTGTATGTACTACAGAACTTTGTTAAACATCTGCTTGGAACACAAACTAATGGATGTTCCTTGGAACTCCTTAAGAACACTTCTAAGTTCTAGCACAAGCCCCGTTCCCAATGGTATCCGAAAGCATTGGTGATTCCCCTAGAAAGCACTTCTGGATTGGATGGAAGAATCAGATTTGAACTGACGGCATTTGAAGGAAGTATTCAGAGATTATTTCTAGACTTGTCTCATTGTGGTTTTTCTACAGGATAGACTCCTTGGTAAGTGAGCTTCAGATATTTACTATTTTTCCTTTGGGGTTTCATTAAAGTGTGCTTAAAAAATTGAAATGTGCTTAATAAAATAAACTCATGTGTGAGATTGTTGCTAGAACCTATAGATCACAACCTATACTCCTGTATTAACCCATAGATTTTTAAATGGGGTGCTATATGTCTATTACAGATTAAAGATTTGTGGGTTGCTTTCAGGCCCTGCACTGCAATTTTGTGACATTTATTTAGCATATATAAAGCACCTTTAAAAAAAAGAAACCCATTCATATACAAGTAAACCTACTTTACAGCCACATTTTTGTGACAGAACAATTGTTTCGGATCACTTTTAAGTATAGCATAGTGATCTGGATTTGGATGGAATATCTGATGGAACTTTTACAGTGTTATTTCTAATGTTTTAATATCTCCATGCTGGCCACATATGGCACATTGTCAAACTCATGGTCTATTAAAAAATAAAGGACTAGAGATTGGCAGCCAGCAATGGAGGTGCAGCGGGCAGCCCCTGGGCCTTTATGTGCACATGGACAACATTGCAGAGAACCAGCAACCGGTTCTACCCAGTTTAGAAAATAAAATAAAAAATAAGGCAAGAGAAGGCCTTACTTTGATCTGGACCCAATTTGCAACTGCTATCTTGGCTCAAGAGTCTCTCTCCTCCAAACTTTTACAAGTTGTAGAAGAATTCAGTGATGCAGAAGCACCTTTGGTCTTTTCCAAAGGAAACCTCAGGGTAGGATGCTCTGAAGAAGTTGCTGTAATTCTGCCGAAGCTTCTTTTTCTTTTTCTTATTTTTTTTAAATTGAAGGTGGGAGGGGTTGAATGAACCCTATGCCACGTGTCTGAAGCACCCAGTCGTTGGTCTGCCCTCTCCACTTCCCAATGAGATTCTGTCAATGCAATCCCATATGGCTCTGCTGTTCTTTTCCCTTCTCCAACCTGAGCCCAAAGAAATAGGTGAGGCCACCTGACTAAACTTTCTCCATGCTGGGGAGCCTTTATTTGCCCCCTCCCCTTCCGGATCTTCAGGCCTCTTCTAGGGTTAAGGCGGAGATCCCAGCCACAACCTAACCTCATCCTTGCTGATTCTCCACAAAGCCCTGAGATTCTGCCCCAAAATTGCCCCAAAAGGCTCTGGCCTGGAAGCCACCACTGCCCCACCCCCCCCCTCCAAACAGAACAAAGATTGACTTTCCAGCAAAGCTGCCTAGGAATGAATTATTTCTCCACCCCGCCTGCATTTCAACATCCACTCAACCATGCAACCCCTTTTTTTGGAAGAACCCCCCCCCCCTCCCAAGTGATGCTGCCACTTCTCAAGCACGGGAAACAAACAGCCTCAGGAATCAAGTCAAGACCTTCCCGGATCGGTGGCTGGACAAGGCAGACCATCCCTCCTCCCGGCCCAGCCCAGATGCCTACCCTTCCCCCCCCCCGCGAACGGCCGGGGCCCCCCCAGGCCCCCGGCACCGGGGGGGGGGGGGTTTGCCTTCGCTTCTTTTTCAAAGTTCCGACTTACTCGGCCATTCCTCGTAGCAAAATCTTGGCTTGTTACTTTCTTGCGGGTAATCCGAGAGAGAGGAAGAATTAGGCGAGATGAGCAGATGCTTCTTTTAATGCCTAAGGTGGCTTTTATTGTAGTTTAAATTCGGGCAAGGTTCCCAGAGGGGGAGGGGAGTGCTTTGCTTTCTTTCCCCGTCTCAGTTTCAATCCTGCAGCCCGTCCTATCTTCGAAACCATCCCCTCTGTCTTTATCACACACACACACAAACGCGCGCGCGCGCGCACATACACACACACACACACA